AAGGGAGAATTCTTTCAGTTCGACCGTGCAACATCTATTCGAAGTTGGCGCGATGTCTCGCGATCAAGGTCGGTCGTGCCCCGACTTGGCTCTGACATCCAAAAAGGATCATGTTCAAATGAGCCTGGATACAAATTATCTTACAGAGTCCTTTTACAGACATATACAAAGGATCGAATGAGCCAGGATCCATATACAGAGTCTGCGCTTGGATGCAAATGATCTTACATGAGCTCAAAGCGGTGCAACCGACCAATGTGGGGTCCTCTCTGTTCGTAGCAAAACCTCGCCGCCCGCACCGCACCCTTTCTGTCGCCACGGATGCCGTGCGCGATGGCTAACACGGCACGACCGAATGAGGAGAGCAGGGTCAGTCAGCTTAGACATTTTGCTGTCCGGCTGTGACACGGCTTCGGAGCCGTGTCAGCTTAAGCATGCCATCTTTTGGGATGATAAAGGACAAAAAACTACCAGATTGAATGTGGATGCTGATTATATACATTTTTTGCATAGAATAGAAGAGCAAACTGTATAATTTAAATATAGGCAATTTTGTCCCCAAATCCCCTTTTAGAAACAATCACCGGATTTCCAATTGGAACTGATCGTGCCAGACCTGCTAAAACATTATTTGTCGAGGTGAGGTCCGTGAATCAGCCCTCAGCTGGTGAGAGTGTCCCATGTGGACGGGGGCGGTCAACCCTAGACTCTTCTATCCTTCATTCTCCTTCTCTCCTCGTTGGATGCAAGTTTGGCATCCCTCGGGTGCTGCGCACCAAAATGGGCAAGTCCTTTCAACCCTATGGCCGGATCTGCTCTTTTTACATCTCTTAAATGCTGTACGCACATCAAACAGATCATAGCGGACTTTCAAGAAGCCTCGATGGGCCTTCGAATGGGTGACAACTGACAATTTGTGTCAAATTCAGCACAAAGGACCTATGCGTCAAAATGCAAGCAACATGATCTTTTTTCGATCTCCTAAGTCTCATTCCTGAGGTAAACTTCTGACTGGAAGACCAGCAAATACATTCCGCATTGCACAAATCCCGCGTTTCCACCCAAGAACGCGTGTTGCGCCGCCAACCGTGCGGGCGTTTCCCGGTCCATCCACCGATAAGAACGGTCGAAGGTGAAGTGCCTTTTGGTCCAATCGCTCGATGATCTCAGGGAATTCAGTGGGAATTGAGGCCAAAAAACACGCCAAGTCTTCAATTCAAGTGTTTTTGGATCTTTTTGGGCCTCTGTCTATTTCTTAAGCTTCAGGGATATATCGATTGTAGATCTTCGAACATGCACCCAACATGCTCGTGAATCGGTCACCAAGCTTTGGTCGTGACACATGTCTTTGAAAGCTAGAGTTTGGGTGGGACTGTATATATACTCTTCCTCAGCCTTGATCCCCATGGTTGCCGGACATGGGTTTGGCCATAGGGCCTAAGTTGCATACAAATTTCATGCAAGTGGCAATCTGGTGGGCCACTGTGACATTGTTTGGTTAGGACAGCCGCTGTTGGACAAAATGATCCTACTGGTACAGGCTTCGACTGGTACAGGCTTCAGCAGGGGCCAAACTGCCGTGGCACACACACACAAATGCATGCATCTTCCTGCAGCTAACTGATCCTGATCGTGTAATCTCCTTCTGGATTCACACCAAACAAGGTCAATTGGAATACTGTGGAATGTTCACCCGTTTTCGCTCATAAATGCCCCGATTTCGGCTTCTCGACCAAACACCAACCACCAGGTGTCACGGCGACTGTGTCATCATCTTGGGGTCCACCTGGCTCCTGTTGGAGAAAACACGCGGTCGCGGTCTTCGCGGTCGCGGTCTTGGTCCCTGCCCCAAGATTCGGGAATCGTCAGCAATCTGGATCACCTGAAGCAGAAACCACACGCTTAACACTGAGGATACAACCCGAGGAGTGCCACTGATGAGCGGAACAGGTTGCTCTCGTTTTCCAACGAAACATCCGGCTGGATCCAACATGATCAAAGCATCACGCAGAATACGTTGGATAGGGAGAGTATCCGATAGTCTGAGTATATCCCGAGATGCTTGACACATTTACAACATCCGGATAGGTTCCTCCACTGCACGACCGATTTCAAGAGCAACATTTGAGGATCTATGTCCAGCTGAAAGACTTTAATCACAAATTTCAGGATCTCTTTAGTTTTGTCTTTATAGAGTACTATAGAGTATGTCTTGATTAAGGATGCTATGATATATGAATCCATTGTTCTCTTTCGTTGTAATATCTTCGCCTTCAATGAAGAAGGGTGTCATGCCACGGAATCTACGGGACAATGGGACGCACCAGCGCTCGCCACCGTTTGGTCCTCGGGTGAGAGGACGCCCCCCCACCCCCCAGAGAACGACCAAAGGGACTGTCACGTCTTCTTTGCATGCCTTAAGGTGGTTGAAATGGGGTGTGAGGTGTGAGCAGGATGTGAGCAACCCTGAGCTGCATGAGATGTGGGAACTCTATCTATGGTCACTCAACAGAAGAATCAAGTCTGTCCTCCAACAAGTGCACGAAAAAGCACAATGTGAACGAACCAACCGTTGCCAGCACATCCAGATAGGTTTCAACGAGAGATCGTCTGATTCTCCGATGTTTGTATCTGGGATGGACATGGGATAAGAACCAAGCCTATCCATCTACAATCCTACCTGCACCCTTTTGGGGAACGGGGAAGAGTGCACCCTTAAGATTCCTTGGAGGATTCTCTAAGGAAACACTCCAACCATCTTTATATAGTTGGTTGGAGAACAACCCCCCCTGTGGTTCAACAAACACTTGCAAGAAGCAACTGAACCACAAAGTCTTCAGCCAACACTTCTCCCTGGCGACCCCAGCCTTGTTCCGCTACGATGACCGGTCGCTCCAGTCCTGGTCGGATCACATGTAAACTCTGTACAAATGTGTACAGTAACTCGGGTCCCGGTCGATGTGCAGACTGGTGCCGTGCGGGAGCCCGATCTTGCGAGACCCACCGGAAGCACGGCCAAATCGAGGCAAAAGCCGAAGCACTCTGGTAGAGGAAGGGAACCATTAACGAACAGTCTTCTGAGCCCCATGTGTCGTGCGAAACTGCTAGGATTCTAAGAGGCGAAACCGCTAGAAATCTATGTGGTCTATGTGCCACCAAATCCTGCCGGATGGTTTGCCAGATGCAATTCGGGTTGCCTTGGCCATATCCCAAAAACTCAAACATAGCTGACATAGCTGTTGTTTTCTGGAAGGGAACCCACTAAAAGTCGGAATGGTTGATGAGAAGAAGGCTTTCTTCCGCGGCTACACGGCCTCGAACAGGCCGACGTCCAGTTGCGTGAGGCTCCAAAAACAAAAAAAACAAATACCATCCGACGACTCCAACGCGCCCAAACATCGGGCAGAATCAAAAATCACATCATGGAGTGTCTCCTGGGCGTCAAAAAGTGACTCCTTTAAGTCAAAAAGTGAACCCCAACCCGTTGGCTAGCCTTTCTTGGCCAGTTGGTTCCCCATTGAGCTCTGCAGATTAGTGTGCACATGGTACAGAATGCGTCTCCTGTGGCTTCAATGGGGCGAAGCGTGGCTCCTGGAGCTAAAGTGCTGACAAGGGAGGTGGATTATTCAAGACGAGTTCCGGTTCAAAGAACATGTTCCATGTCACATGTCACCTCCGTGTTGTAAGAGCCCTCCAAGCATACCCTGGCGGCTCCTGAAAACGATCTCAAAAAATATCAGTGCCAGTTTCTTGGAAGGGAGGCGTTCCAAGTCTTTCATATTTATTGTTTGACAGATCCAGGTATTGCCCATTACTCTGAGAATTCAACTATCCAATCAACTCCAGCGTGTGTGGAGGGTGTTGGGCGATCGCGGGGCCTCCGGACGGACCAACCAGAAATTTGGGGCTAAAGAATTGGGTGCACCAAAAGCCATCCCCAAATCCACATGACATAAGAACCAATTCTGTGAACACCTCCAGGTTCCTGGGCCTTGTTTCTGGCCCATAGCCAATTCTTGTTGTATTGTATGTAGAACAAAGGTATTCTGATCAAAATTATCCATGACATGATATGAGCGCCACCACACCTGAAGAACCCGCAAACCAAAATCTATAAAAACTCGGATGCCCGTATCCATTCTTCGAGGGAGGCATCATTGCTCACTGAAGTCAAAGATTTAGCATCCAAAGCACTCAAGCTCCAGTGACTGGATCACCATACACCACGGGAACCATGGGTGTATTAGATGAACACATTTTCTAAGGATTGGGCAAATTTTGACGCCATGAACCCACAAGAAAACACTTCGAACTCCGAATATACACGATCTCCTGCCGTTCATTGTCTTTTGTTCGGAATAGGTAGCGTATGTTCAGCGGGTCTCGATGAAAGTGGGCAAGCACCTACAGCTACATTTCATTCAAACACAACATGCGTAACATTGTGTAACATATACCATATACAATGTCTATGTTTGCTCCCTGGTGGTAGTTAGATACCACAAATCGACTTCAGGGATGTTCAGGATGGAAACTCTTCCGCAGGAACTCTCTCTGTGAGCCACGGTAAAAAACACTGAAAGGGAACGGGCGGTGGTCCATGTCGGCCAAGGCGGTTGCAAGCTCTTGTTCTGTCTGTATTGTAGGGTGTCCATTTTCTTGTTTCTCTTGTTTCTTCCCCAAACAGTGCGGCAACACTAGGGGTTCTTACGGTAGGGGTTAAGGACGGGTGTCCGATCGAGGTCCTCGCATTGGCCGGCGGCTAAGTCGCTGCTATTTACTGTACATTCATTCAGCTCGAGATCTTCCAAGTGCATTTGCACTGCGCTGCTGCTGCTGGTGGTGATGGTGGTGGTCTTCGGTGTGCTCCTCTTTGAAGTGCTCTTGGTGCGAATCGCCTTGTGCAGATTTCGTGGCAGAGGCAGTGCTTTGTGGTCTTTGAAGTGCAGATGTCTTGGCAGGCACAGCACCTTGTGAACCGGGAAGTGCAGATTTGTGGCAGGCGCAGCACTTTGTGGACCTTGAAGCGCAGATTATGTGGCAGCTTGAAGTGCAGATTTTGTGGCGCGCGGAGTCCTTTGTGGACCTTGAAGCGTAGATGTTTTCCTCAGGCATCTCTCTCCACCTGTAGACCTCTAGAACTCCGGACCTAGACCTTCGACAAAGCCAGCACCTGGTTTGTGAACCTCCATCACCACCACCACCACCATCACCACCATCACCACTATCACCACCATCATCAACACCACCATCACCACCACCATCACCACCATCATCACCGCCATCATCACCACCACCACCACCACCACCACCACCAGCATCACCACCAGCATCACCACCACCATCAACAGCACGAACACCACCATCATCACCACCACCGTCAACATCATCACCACCACCACCACCTTCATCACTACCATCACCATCACCACAATCCCCACCGTCATGACTACCATCACCTCTCTCCGGAGCCCGATGCGTCTAGATCTCTAGACCTTAGACAGGTAAACCCACTGTTTCGGGTTTCTTGCTGGGATACTTTTAAGTTATCTGGGACTAACAGGGTCGACGGGTCACTGGCTTGATCAAAGACCCAGCAAACGTCGACCCCTTTCCTGCCTGCTGCCGTGTGCGGAAGCAACAGTAACATGCCCTTAGTGCAGGGCAATCTCAGGTGATCTCCTTGGATACACCGACCATCCACATTGGCGAATGTGACTCCAAATGACTCCAAGCCAAACACCTTGAACTTTGTATGGTTGCTTCTGTGTGATTCCATGAAGACATCTTCACCAAAATAAAAAGTTTGTCATGGCATGGTCGGGTCAGAACGGAAATTCCATGGACCGACCCAATTGTATCGTTAAATATACAGACTGCCCATCTGATCCAACACCCTGTGAGGCCCATCTCGGCCTGACCACCGCACCTCCCTGTGTTTTGAAGCTGGCCAACTCCAGCTCCTGGATGCTCCTGGGCCACCCTGCTCATCCTCTGCCATCTCCTCGCAAAAAAGGAAGCGCACGCGAGAAATTCACGCTGGTCCCGCCGAGCAGTCATTTATATATGGATATGGTAAAGGATCCTGCAGCGCGATAACATAAATAAGGCTGCTACGGTACAATGAGGCCTGATCCACGGTGAAGAAAGAAAACAAATTCTTCAGAGCCAAAGATTGGCTTGACCATCTCAGGGAACCAACCCAGGGAACATATATGCAGATACTGTAACAGTTAACATCTTTTATCAGATCAGTTTCTTTTAACGTGGGACACAATCTCCATGGAATCATGTCCAGGGCAACTGTTGTTTCCTGAATCTAAAATCATCTTCAAAAAGCTGCGAGTGGGACGCTGGCTTCTGAAGGTATAGGTTTGAACATAATAAGTTATCGCTTGGCTTCGTGGCCCAGCACACATGTTCCCAAGACGGGTCGCCTCCTGCCGCGCTCGCTTTACATCTTGCTCGACGTGTTGATAGGGCTGAAATAGCTTTCCTCGAACCCAATGAGCGCCGAGTGAGGTGGGAACCATCAACGAATGTCTAAACTAAACTAGACCAGCACCACCCAGATAGGGTGGTTTATGGACCCCTCGACTATGTATGTCAGAGCCCAAAGAGCCACATCTCCTTCCGCCTAAATATCCGCCGACCCCACTCGTGGGGTGAGGCGTGACTGTTGATTGATAGCCTTAGCCTTAGCCTTGGCCTTAGCCTTAGCCTTAGACCTTAGCCTTAGCCTTATCCTTAGCCTTACCTCCCCTACCCCTCCGGAGCCTTGTTGCAGTGACGAAATCCGCCAAGATTCCCCAAGATTCGCCAAGATTGCGACAAAATTTCGACATGCATTGTCCAAGATTTGTCCATCCCAATTGATTTACATCTTGGAGCACCCTCTCCACCCGCGCGGGAAAATAAGCACGGTCCAAAATGGTCCCGGGCTCGAATCCCGGGCTGGTCGCGGCGTGGTCCCGGCCAATGCCCTTGATTTTTCCTAGATTTTGTTGCGTTTTCCGTTGGATTTGTAGGATTTTCAAAGGCTTTTCCTGCATATACTTAGGAATGCTCTTGGTTTTTTCTAGATTTTGTCACGTTTTCCGCTGGATTTGTAGTATTTTCAAAGGCTTTTCCAGCACTTCCTCTGGTTTATTCAGGTATCTGTAAAGGCCCCGTGTTGGTTTTTGGGTTCCCAGATTTGCCTAGAAAATTGCTAACCCATTTTATTCCATTGTTGCAAAGGTTTTGACAGGATGCCTTTTGTACAGGCTCCGTGTTGGTTTTTGGGTTCCCAGATTTGCAAAGAAAATTGCCAACCCATTTTCTTCCATTGTTGTACTCATGCCTTTCATGTGTACAGGCTCCGTGTTGTGTTTTGGGTTCCTAGATTTGCAAAGAAAATTGCTAACCCATTTTCTTCCATTGTAGTACTCATGCCTTTTATGCGTTTACACCTGCGCCAGCTACTTCCACGTACCATCCTTTCCGCTACATTTTCCCTCGGGGTGGGCGGCTGCAGGCGGTAGCTTGGTAAATATACTGTATATGTATATATATAAATACGTATCGACACGGGCAATGTGTCTCTCGTTCTTTGCCTTGAACACATTCTTTAACCTCGTAGATACCAAAAGCTTCCAAAGCACCCTCACCCAACTCATTCCATTCGGTGCGTGCAGCGAAACGACGCCCAAACACCAAGCTTTGAGGTGGAAAACTCAGACCACATGGTGGCAAGGGGACGTAGAAAGTAGCCAGCTCAGTTCCAAATGGTTTTCCAAGATCTCTTGAAATGCTTACTAAATCTAGTTGTATTGTGCCCTTCTCAGGAAAGAAAGCGGAAAGGTGAACTCACCCTCATCCACGATCATCCACGTATGAACTTGCGGGAGGTTGCCTGCTTGACCAACAACCTGGTAATTGGGCCGTAGGGCAATATGGTCTCTGTGAACAAGCAGCGGGCTCTCAGATAATAGCCCTGAAAACCAAATCCTAAAGGAAAATAAGTCCGACACCGAAAATGGAGAAGACACATTGACATGAAGACACCACTTTTACATGATCTTGAAATATCTTGAATCTTGAATGATTTTACTTAGTGGGTTTCAGGCGGTGCAACTTTAACATCATCTCACCTTCCCAGTGACCGAACATTGGAGTCCTATCCAGTGACCTTTTATATAAGTGGCATCAAACCAGGGGGAGCACAAAATCACTGAGCAAATTCAGCTGATTTGTATAAAGATCACTCTAAATTTGTTTAAACTGCTGCCAAGACTCGATCCTCCACTACGCCTTCCAAGGACTTTGCCTGCGAAGGAAGTCGGTTTTTGGAGCTTTGTTTCGGTTGGTGACCGAGCAAGGAAGGAAGAGGTTGCAGCGAATGTCAAGGCTGATGGCTGCAAAGCAGCTTGCAGCTTGAAAACAGACCAGAAAAGTACAAGTAACAGCCAAAGTCTGAGGCGGGGCAGGGTAAGCCAGACCTAGCCTAATCCATGGAGTGACTGTCAGAGCCTCAGAGTGCAAAGCCAGTAAGGGATAGTTGGGATAGCAACGGTGGGCAGAAATCAAGGAAACAACAAAAATATGGTATCTGGCATCAATGAAGGCGACGCAACTGGATAAGGAGGGAATGTGTTGGTCCTAAGCGGGTACATTTGTCCTGGAAACAATACCTACAGTATGCAAACGGAAGATTAAGATGACATGAAGGGGCCAGGCAATGGGGAATTTCAGGAAGGCGGCCCTTGCTCACTTTGCCAGGGCCATCTTTGGTAGGCTCAACTCCACGACTCCAGAACAGCTTGTTGGTAACAGGAGTACCGGGCTGATCACCACAAACCGTGTCAGCAGCGCAGCTACTACACGATTTCACGTGGATCTGAGTCAAAGCATAGATTGAACATGATTGAACCATGACCATGGAAAAAACTGACATAGAAACGGGTAGAAGAGTCCTTGTCATCTTCTCGAGTCACATCTCATTGAAGCTTGAGAAGCAGGGCGTATATCTGAACTTATTCATCTATCTCAGTTCTGATTCTGATGGCTTCATGAAACAGTATAGAACAAACGGGAAGGAACATATTATAATCAATCTCGACTCTTCTTGAGTTCATTCCAGCCTGTGCAGCCGGATGAACAATAGATAAAAATAGTACCCATCTATCGAATAGCTATATACATTATACATACATGCACTATTTACCCCATGTATGACCCTAATGCAAGTTGCTATTCCAGACCAGGACGGTCTCAAGACAAACAAGAACCCCAAAAAAACCGACCACGTCGACCGGCCTGACTGGCGAACCAAGCAGCCACGACGGAAACGGTCACCTGGTCGTGTGGGGCCCAGGGCGACGGTCGGGGTTGTTCCTAGTAGCGTGGCACTGGTTTCTAGTAGCTTCTTGTTACTAC